CATTGAAAGCCAGGCTTCCTAGAAATTCCCTGTAGAATGCAAGATAGCAAGCCATTATTACTTGAGCAGAAGCCTCACTTACTATTTTCACAGTTGGAAAACACCCACACAGACTAAACAGCAAAACTCAACTTCTAAAAAGCTTCTGGAACATTCAACAGGACAAAAAGACAAAATCTCTTAGGGACAAACACATCACTGAGATGAATATTGCTGAACAACTATCACAACTTTTCTCAATGTTTCCCATGTATTCCTCAAAAGTGACCTTTTACGCCAATAAAACAGCCACAAAATATATCCAGGGCTCTCAGGTACGGAGCTCCGGAAGAGAACCTCTAGGGGGTGGGGCGGTCACGTGGTGAAGCCCCGCCCCCTTCTTTACCCCGCCCTCTGCTTCGATCCTCATTCCGTTTGGGAATGAGGATGAAGCAGGAGGGTAAGTAGCCGGGCCTTCTGACACACTTCCGGTGATGTCAGGGGGTGTGGCCTTCTGTCACTTCCGGTGATGTCAGGGGCGTGGCATATGCAAATAAGTTATGCTAATGAGTTATGCTAATGAGCTTCGGCAGCTCTTTTTCTACAACAAGACCCCTGCTCAAAAGTGACCTTTTATGCCAATAAAACAGCCACAAAATATATCCAAAACAGCACAGGTATTAATTAAAATGTACTGGAAAGCATTTTTAATTTGCTGTGGGAGAAAAAAGAATAAAAGCTCAATTTCTTCTGTTATAGTAGCATACATGAATAAGGAAGTCACTGGAATGATTCCTTCCCAGTACAAGATTACATTACTAGCTTAATCTGTGGCCACAATCCACCACATAGTAAAGGTGCTTAAACCCACTTGTTTCAACTGATTTAATTTAAGCATGGTTAACTGTTAAATTGTGACTAAGCACTTGAAACTTTAAGTGTCACCTTGTTGCTTTTTCTTCTGTGTTTATGTATTGAATGTTAGATAATGTGTGGTGGAGTTGGAAACTCACAACTAAAATTCTCAACAGGAAATATTTGTGACTGATCATGCCTTCCTTTGTAAATTTCGTGGTAGCCTGGCTATCTTAATTCTTGTGAATGGGCTGTCACCAGTCAATTGAGTCACCAGAGACTCAAACACAGAAGAGTAAAGTCCCCTCATAACTGGGTATCTCTTTCGAGCCTTTGATACGTAGGAATGAATAGAAATGTATTTGTATTTAGCCATAGGCCATTACAAACCAAGGATAACAACAGAGAGGGATGCTATAAATATAAATATTGGTATGAAATAGAGTAAAATTTAAGATATAATAAAACCATAAAATCAGAATAAAATAAACTGAGGGTATAGGCAACTAATTGAATCAAAAGGTGTCCACTAAGATCAATATTAATTAATTCCTATAAGAACAGCGTTAGCCCATATTTTCTTTGTAGCCAAGGCATATAATGCCATTCTAAAAGATATGTTGGCAACGGAATCAGCAAACAAGAATACAATCTTCTCAGAGTCTGAGTAGAAACATAAATCCAATAAAGTCCCAGAGAGGAATTTTAACCTAGGTTAAATAATGGTTAAATATATAAAAATATAATGGAGAAGATCCTCAATAACAGATGAGCCACAAATGCAAAAGCGCTGTTCCTTAGGTGTTCTACTATAGCGGCCAGCTAATATGGTCGTTCTTTTGGTATCTCAGTACAAACCTATGCAGAATTATCCCAGATTAAAGTGACCAACTTCCTATTTCCATATGTTAAGCCTCTACTAAAGGGATTTCCCACACACACACTAGATCTATTGACAACCCTACTCCAGATAAAGTCCATTGATTTCAACAATTTCTGTATAGGATTGCACTGTAGGGGCTTTGCAAGCAAATATGTATAGGACCTGTCATATCAATGAGCAGTCCTATTCCGGAGAGAAAAACAAAAGCAAACCAATTTTAGTTACTAGAGTTTGGGAGTGATGGAATGATCCTGAAGTCTGAAAGAGGAAAGGATGACCATTCCCCACTCTGCTTTTACTCTACTGGGAGGTGGAGTGGAGTTATTCTCTTGGGACAATATTATTATCTTGGGAGGTGAGCTGGAGAAAGGCAGAGTTATCTACCTCTTCCAGACTGAGCCATCATACAGATATGGAGTAGCTTCCTTTCTGCATTGCATGACATTTGCCAGATCTAGACAGGAAGAAACTAGGATGTTTTCCATTGTTACCCTGTTTCCCACTGGAAAACATTTGATACAGAGAACACACTATCCTCTTTGGAAACCTACTATGACAAATTTCAGTCACTATTCCAACAAAGACTGGTACCCACAGGAGAGAAACGGTTCTGATTGTAGGGGAAGATAAATTGGTGGCTTCTTAATTGGAAAGGAGGGACAAGAAAAGTATTTCATTCCCCATGGCTGCTTGAGCCGAAGAGTATTTGTAGAAGCTTTAAAAGACAACAAGATCTAATGATATTCAGAACTGGGATCTTTCAGCTTGTGCTGTGGCCAAAGCTTTCCCCTTAGGACTAAAGACGTCCCTTGCAGTGGTATGAGCAGCTCAATATTATAAAGATTAGATATCATCAGTAATCCTGTCAGCGACTCATAACTGGATCTCACCTACTGCAAGATCAATGGTGCGTGTGCGTGTCTTCATAGCGTTTCCCTTATGACCAGGTTCATCATTTTGGGGGGCATTCGACGACCACAAACAGAAAATGTTGATCTGTGTGTTACCATGATGCATTTAGCGTACAGTACAGACATACTCTCCCGCCCCCTTTTCTTCTGTCAAGACGGGATAAACGAAGGAGCCTATACCCGGGCCTCACTCACCTATCATAGCCGACGGGGGGCATGTGCACGTACCCTGTCCCCACCCGCAGCTCAAATCCGAGCCTTCAGAATACAACGCTCCCTGCAGGCAGTCGAGACTTTAAGACGAGTACTGCGCGGACGAGGCAATGCATCCTGGGAAATGTAGTTCCTCGTTTGCTTGTCGGTTTACCTTCCCCATCTCTTAGAGTTAATGAACCATATGTCATGTGACCAGGAGAAAATTGTTTCCTCAAGTGATGGTTGCTGCGGCGGCCACCTTATGTTGACTATGCAATAATTAATATAAAGCAGGCCAGCGAGCAACACGGGGTGGTGGTCACTACTCTACTTGACCCTCTTCCAAAAAACTGGAAGGGGGTCGTGGGAAGTAGAATGACTCCAGTTCTTTGATTATTGGGACACGATCAGGTTTGCGCAGCCGCATTGTATTATTCTTTTCTGTTCACCCAACGGCATATATAGAAAGTAGGCAGAGAATAAAGCGTTTCATCATGCTGTATTTCTAGTAAATGTGTTTCACAAAAAATAAAGAGGGTGTGCAGAGGAAGCATTATTACAGGTGCCGCGTCATGTTCCTAAGCAGTGCGTCCTTAGCAATAAATAAGTTTCATAAACAGATTAAAAAGAGAGAGAGCAATAAATAAGTTTCCAAAGAACCACGTTTAAGTCAAGAATAGATTTCAAGATAACATTTCAAGGTATGAGCTTTCAAGATTTATAAGATTTCAAGGTATAAGCTCTCGTGTGCAAGCTTTAAGACCAAACTTTGCTGGCCTTAAAGTGCTACTGGACTCAAACTTTGTTCTTTCATCAATGTAAGTTTTGGCGTCCTAACTACAACAAATAGCATTTTACTACTAGTTAGACTAGTAATGTAAACAGCTGTCCAAGAAAACAGTCCATTAACCTTAGCGGTGCTCAGAGCATGACTAGAGGGGAAAATACAGGGGTTTATAAAAGTAATCGTCGGCCGTTACAGCTAGACGTCTGCATACAATTTCTCTATACTAAAATCTTAAACAATATACCAATATAGCTAAAACCGACCTTTTTGATAAAAGCAGGTGTTTTCCCCACCCTGGTTGGTGTTGCATGGCAAATTCTTGTTACACTGTTTCCTGTCGTAGAAATGCAGGAGCAGGGGAACGTTCAACTATGAAGTTGAATTCTGATTGAACTGTTATGCAGTTTTAAATTTTTTAAGAAGCCCAGCCTGGTGAGAGAGAACAACATTGTTTATGCTTTTAGCAACAAGTACCGTTTATTTCAGTGGATTTCTGAATAAATGCTTTAAGTCTTTGAAAAATCTTAATCTTAGCAAATTTAGATAAAATACTTTTGGGGAATAGTGGTGAACAAATGAGAGAAAGAAAAAAATATGTGTAGGATTAATAACGCTAAAATATATATATAACAGATGTTGCTGTAGATTTTCCGGGTTGTGTGGCCGTGGTCTTGGCATTGTAGAACCTGACGTTTCGCCAGTAGCTGTGACTGGCATCCTCAGAGGTATAACACAGAAAGATGGAGTACTCTCTGTGTATTGTGTACAGATGCATTACGTTGGAGAGGTGGATAATTTATAGCTCTTCCAGCTGCTGACAGTATCTTCACCTATATTTATTTCTCCCCTTTGTTTTCCCCAGAGCATATAATCCTATTAACCTTCCCTCCATGGGGCTAGAAACAGACACATTTTCTCATTATGATAAAACAACACGGGGGGGGGGGGGTGCTCTACGTATGTATTTTCTACGACAAGAAGTAAGGGCAGGAGAAGGGCAGAGCACGTTCTGTCTTCACCGGCTCGGCGGCCCTTAAAGACGGTTCTTTATTTTGTACATGCCTTGCAGTTTTGTTTAACATTGCACGGCTATACGTTATTCCCTTTGCAAACCTTTTCTCATAGCTTTTTCTCGGTCTGAGCGATGTCTTCCTGTGAACGAGGGGAACTCCCGTACTATATAAGGCCAAAGAAAAGGCAAGCGGCTTCAGTTGCTCCTACTGAGCACGCGTGTGCGTAGGCGCTGTCGGTGTCCCGACAAGGGCGGAATTCTTAGGCTACACAGGCTGGTTGTTGACACGTTGCTTAGCAACAGAGTCCCTAGACGCGTGTTGGTGTTAGAAACAGGCAGCTTCCCCCCCCTCCCCTCTCCTCGTCCTGCATCCACACAGGATCCTACGAAGGGGCTAACCGTGGGTCGAGGGACAACTGATGCAGGGGGACGGAGTTTAGGAGGAGGGGTTTTTTATTCTTTCTCTTTTTTTCTTCCTCCCCTAGTTGTTTGATTTTTAGTCTTCATTTCCAACCCATATTCTATCAGTTACCTGACGAGATGGTGGCAGAGAAAGAAGGCTCCTGCCCTTCCAAACACAGACCCGTACAATTTCAGGAGCCTCTACGGCAAGAAAAAAGAAGTAGGAAGCAGGTCAGCGATGGATTCACCATCAAAGCCATGATGAAAAACACAGTGGTACGTGTCTCTTATGAAGCTTTCTGTTTTCTTGGAAAACGCTGGAAAGGAACGAGCTGACCATCGTAAAGGGCAGGGGATGACAACTGCCGTGTCAGCTTTGCGTGGGTATGATTTGTGTGCTGTCTTCCCAAACGCACTCACTGGGGTGAGAGATTTATCACATTTAAATAATCACCGGTGTGTCATCATATCCAAATATCACGATAATATATTGTACCAAATCACTCTTTAAATTTATTCTTATTATAAAATAGACATTTGCAAAACTTTTTCATCTGTAACAACTACAGTAATTTAGATCCATAAATAATAATTGTTGCTCCTCTGCCCTGCTCCCTCACTTGAGCACACTTAAGGTATATTCATTCAGTTTGGATATGGTTGGACACACAGTTTGGACACATATACCTTTAGGTATATTCATTCATTTTCATTCAGGTGAAAAAAGCAGTGATGTAATAAAAAAAAAAATTAAAACCCCATATAATTCAATTAATTTTTAATAATTTGGAGAGTAATCTGAATGGAAAATATATGAAAAATAGCACTGGGCTTGGAGCCTGGACCAGTAATTCAATGGAACATATGCTACATTTTAAAAACAACCCTATGTGGGGAAAATAGACAGGAGGATTCTAAATAGGAAGTCCAAAGCATAGTTACCCTTCTAAGCCCATTGATCTTAGTGGACTTAGAAGGGTGTAACTCTGCTGAGGATGGCACTGTCAACTACATGTGAGGAAAACCAAAACCCGGATTTTTCAAGAAACCAGGGCTATTTTTGGGTAGGAATGCAAAGGAACGGAGTTCCAGTTGGCTCCCAAGTTGGCCACGCCCAGCAGGAACTCATTAGCATAATAGGCCACACCCAGCAGCAGAAACTCATTAGGATTGGCTACATTAGGGGTGTGTGGCCTAACATGCAAAGGAGTTCCTGCTACAAAAAAGGCCTTTGGTTTTGACAACAAACAAGGTAAACAGAATAACAAGCAAAAGGTGGGTGTGGCTGGATAACCACACTTCTGGTAACATGGGGGTGCGGCCTAATGTGCTAGTGAGCTGTGCTGTCAGGGGTGTAGCCCAATATGCTAATTAATTCCTTCTGTTGTGTGTGGCCTATTATGCTAATGAGTTCCTGCTGGGCTTTTTCTACAAAAAGAGCCCTGCAAGAAACTAAAGCCCAATTCATACTGCCGCTTGCTGTGTAAATCACTCCTCCTAGTTATGAACCTGGGTGGCTACTGTATGAAACAAGATGGTAGACTAGATGGACCACTGGTCTGATCCAGCAGGGCGCTCCATGTGTTCCAATGGGTCCCTATGTCCTTAATGGTGTCGTAAGCAAGGGTAGATTGGCCTTTAAGGCCATCAGGGAAAACCCTGGTAGGTCAATGGCCTAGGGGCTGCCTTCTCCTGCTAAGGCCACTCCAGCCCCAAGCAACAGGCTGCCCCAGTTCTGTACAGGATGGCCCTCACAGCTGCCACTGTGAGTGAGCCGGCTGCCCCAGCCCTTTGTGGAGTGGGCAAGCCACCGTGAACAAGCTGCCTCTTGTCAGTGAGTTGGCAGACTGGGCCCTGTGCAGACCAGCCAGCTCTCTGGCAGTGGCTCCCTTGCCCACACACAGGGCCAGCACTGGGGTAGCCCACTTGATATAGTGAAAGAGCCATCTTTTGCTCCCCTTACCATTGCAGCAGGGCTTGGGATAAATTAGGGGGTGGTGTTCTTTCCAAGGCCATTCCTTCTTCCCAGTCCAACCCTGGTCGTTGTTTGAGATATGGAAGTCCAACACTGAATTAGCACTGTGTATTATGCTAACCTAGCAGTCCCCATGCCTTTGATTTGTGGTGCTCTCCAGTGATAGCATTCAGTGCCTGTCCTCCTTGGTCGCTGTTCAGAATGGCAGCCTCTTACTTCCCAGTAACATGAGTTTCTTCAAGAGGTCAAATATTGCCTGCTGGACCCTTTCAGGTCAGAAGAACAGTGCGGGGGGGGGAGGCTGAAGTTTCTTTTCCATGAACACCACAGTCATAATCCAAATTGGGTACCTCAAACATGAGCACTGAGGAACTCATGTGTGTGACTGTTACACAAGACAGGATGAGGACCCTGGATCCAACCTGCAAAATGTGGAAATCAGTTATAGCTGTTCTGTAGCCACCCTGATGATATCCTAGAGGGTGTACTCCTGTGTTCTTCTGTGCTGTCTGTCCTACCAAAATATGTTGCCACCTCTGTTTTATACAGCTTTCTCAGCTAAACTGAGGGATGTCAGGTTGTTGACCCTAAATTATTCTTTGGATTTGTTAGGTACCTGTAGAGGGCCAACTATACATTGTACTCTGACAGATGTAAAAGCATTCTGACTCTTAAAAAATAAAGCAAAGTTGTTGGGTAATGCAATTTAATTTGGAAAGCAGCAGGGGAGGGTTGGAATGCTCTCCCTCTGTTCTCTGTGGCAGTTCACTTTGGGGGGGTCAAATGTGTGTTTGAGAGAAGAAGTTTGGAGTAGTAAAACAGCAGGCAGGGACAGAATTATCATTTCCCTGTCGTTTCTCAGCTCTGAATGTCCCCCTCTTGAAACTCCCTCCCTCCCTCCCTCCCTCCCTCCCTTCCTTCCTTCCTTCCTTCCTTCCTTCCTTCCTTCCTTCCTTCCTGTTTAATCTCTTGGTTTCTTCAACTTTTAAAAAACTTATAAGTGTCTTGGTTTTGGAAGCAACTTTGAATGAGAGAAGAAGTGAGGGCTTTTTGCATTTTGCATGTATTTCCTTGTCTGTAGAAGATACTGTTTGGCCCGTGAGTCTTGTAACGCTTCTTGGTGAAGGCTGGCAGTAGAATAGTTCTGCGCTTTTTTCTGGGAGCTATGGTGATTGCTCCAACCAGATGCCTCAATGGACAGCCATGGTTATGGGCTGGTTGAGTATCCTGAATTCCTGCTATGCCTGGGCTTCCTGGGACTCAGCTCCCTGTGCCTGCACTGGTAGATCTGACATCAGTTGCAGCAGGGTGCACCACCATAGCAATCCAGATATATTAGGAGATACAGACACATTGTGACTGGGAGTGGGGGGGGTTTGCAACCGTGAGGGTTGGGACAAAGGAAATGGGGAGAAACGCACCCTGTGGAAGCCCTGTTGCTACTGCACTGCAATGGCAACTGCAGTGAAAAGTACTGAGACTGGCAAGTGATTTCAGCTCTCATACTTTTATTATAGGTGCAGAACATGATGAAAAAACCCAGGTCGCAGGCCGGCTTATATGCTCAGTAAACCCACTCCCAGGATACACCCCCACTCAGTGATAGGCTATATACAGTGGCCGAGAGTTCCATAGGTCCCGACCAGGAACCTAGCCCTCTGGTTGGTGTGGGCTAGAATCCGGGCCATCGTCTCCTGGAGCAAAGCTCGGAGGCTTTGCATGACCACGTGAAGAACTCGCCTTGCACACGGTCAGGTTTAGATACATTACAAGCAGTAATGGGAAACCACAGGAAATCTTGTCTGCATGGAAAACACCAAAAAGAATAAGCTGAAAATGAGAAAAACTCTGGTTCATTCTGCTACACATCCCTTAATGGCTTTAGGAAAGCCACTATAAACCACAACCTGGCCTCCAATTTTGCTATGGCCTAGGGTTGCCAACTCTGGGTTGGGAAATTCCTGGAGATTTGGGGGTAGTGACTGGGGAGGGCAGGATTTGGGGAAGGGAGAGACCTCAGCAGGATACAGTGCCATAGTGAACACCCTCCAAAGCAGCTATTTTCTCTAATTCCAGGAGATCCAGCAACCCTACCATGGGCATAGTAGTACTGGCCTGCCTTATAGAAATTTTATAAGGATTATGGGATAATGTATATGAGGAGCTTTGAGCATTTAGAGAAAGTATCATATAATTGCTCATTATTATCGTTACTATAATAAGAACATAAATAGGAAATTAAGTTAGTGAGTTGAGGTTTCCACGTGCAGAGCCTGTACATGAGGTGAAACATTCAAACCACTTACTTGGGAGTAATATCACTGAAATCAACAAGTTGTGGGTTTTTTTAATGATGAGATCTGCATCAATAAGTATTGGATCACAATCTATCCATGTTATAGCAGCCCTTTGACATTAATAGGGCTATTCTCTGTTCCAAAATAGATTGATAATTTGAAGCCTTAGCCAAATAGTGGCATCATAACAGATGTGCAAGTATTTCAAAATGCAAATCTTTGAACAACACTGGTGGGTCTTAAATACCTTAAAAATATTAAAATATTGGAATTCCCAAACGATGTTTCCTGCCTATTACTCTCATAGTGATTGATAATTTGAAGCCTTAGCCAAATAGAGGCATAACAGATGTGCAAATATTTCAAAACGCAAATATTTGAACAACACTGGGGGGAGGGACCTTAAAAATATTAAAATATTGGAATTCTCAGTTCCTGCCTTAGATGATGCTTCTGTTGCTTTAATAATGGCAGTAAAGCACTGTGGGGGAAATGCTGTTTCCTGCCTATTACTCTCATAGCCCACTCCTCACATGGCTTCTCTGCCAGTAGCTGGAGTGACTTACCCATGTTTCTGTGTTCCTATTTTGATATGCATTATAAGTGGAATGAATGACAAGAACAACTTGACTATAATAACAGTGAATTAAGCATTTAGTTAAAAGTTTAAACAACAGCATTTTTTTATATTTGAAAGAATGTTGTATGTTTTTTGAGAAGTACAATGGTAAAAGGCTGTAAGAAATTGAGTTGTTCTTCCCAGCCATCATTGAACTGAGAAACTTAACATTTGTACAGGGAGTTTACCGTAGGCTTTTCAGTTTGATAGGAGATAGTAGCATTATTTTGAGAACTATTTCTTAGATAAAGTACATGCCAGATAAGATAAAGTACTTTGAAATAAGAGGAACAGTATGGAGTCATAATCTGCTGTGGAGATGCTGCATAGAGATCTTGAGTTTCTTATGTCCCAACTATGCTACTAACTTGAACTTTGAAATCAT